TCCCAATCTCCCAATCTCCCAATCTCCCAAAATCCCAATTTCCAGCTGCATAAATTTGAACCCAACTATGCAAAACCTTAACTAATAACTTGCCAGTACCAAATAAAATTTCCCTAAATTTCAAAAATCCATCCTTATTCCCATTTGGAACACACATTCCAGCAAAATTAATATTACCATCCACAAAAGTTTCATGGGAGTTATGTTGATTTTCCGATGATTGGTCCCCGAGTTATGACACAACCTGTAGACGTCACGCGTATCGGCTGTCAGCAACGTCGGTTCACAGGAAAAGCTACGGGCGGGAAAATATCATCGTGTCCCAATCCACGCGAATCCAGATGGGAATCGAATCGTTGCCGGAATTGCGGCTGGGTCTCGCGTGTCTCGAAAATCGAACAACTAGAAAACGGACATAGGTGGTGAGAAACTGGCAGCCGCGCATGAGGTACACTGCTGAATCTCGTGTATTCAATTCTCGAACGACTTTCAATCCGTGCTTCCGTGAATTATAGAAGTTAACATCCACGCACCGGCAAGAAAATCTCTTAAATTATTTGTTTCCACGATTGAATAACTCCGCTACCGAACCGTGCGTTTAGTGACTTTTTTAGTGCAAATAGGAAACTGTTTTTTTTCTATACAGTAAATTTTCATGGATTTGTATTTCTAAGTCGTAGTTGAGGTTTTACCGCTTATGAAAGCACCTGTATAGTCGAACGATTTATTGTCGCGATATAATGAGTTTATGTTCACCCACGCGAATTCAATTTTCGAGACGAAAACCGGCAGCAAACACGAAAGGTTGTTACGAAGACGACGAACAAATATTTCTTAATTCACTTGCATCGACCTCGATTTATTTTCATTGGTGGTCGACGGCGGCGCACGTCAACGACCCGGCACCGTCGATGTACATGGGAACCAGGCATAAATCACTTCTGCCCAAGCGTTCCCCGCAATTCACGTCATCACGATGACAGAATACTGCGAATGTCTTCTTCGCCGAGCGAATACTTTTCAACGTTCACGAGAAAATTCGCGGAAAATATTGCGCGAATTTTTGAAATCCCTTACGGTGGATTGCTCTGAGGGACAAGAATCTTTCTCTGCTCGATCTCGTCGGCCATTCTTCGAAACAGTCTAAAGTCTTCTATGATGTTTTTACGTATCGAGTTTGCGAGCTTCGAAATGTTTGTATAAGGATTCTCATTCAATTTTTATGTGTAAAATTTGAAGTATCAGAAATCCACGTAATTTTTTTAAATGGAAATACTGAAATATGATACTTTAGGAAAATTGATTTCTCTTTGGTTTATTTTAGGAAAAGAATTAAATTCAATTATAATTATATACACATAGAACAGCTCTGATATATAGAACAAATATGGCGGATGCAGAATGCTTTTAATATAAATATGTCCAGTAATTTGATGCTGAGAGTTTGTTAAAAGAACTCATAAAGAATGATTAAAACATATATATTGTATAAAATATTGAAGATGTAATTGCTATAATTGTTATATATAATGTTATAAATGTTATAACGACTATATGAAATATCTGTTACATGTCAAATGTGCTTACAGACGCCATTTTGATTAGTTCACACGTTGACCACTGATGTCGCATATTAAATTTATATTCCAAATGTCATAGAACACTGGTAATTTATTTACAAATTATCTGTACAGAGTTCAGAATGATTTCATAATATGTAGTACAAGTTTCAAACGATATATTACAAATTTACAGGTTATTCAATATATTACAAATTCACACGGTCTGCTCATTTTCTCAGTAATATATTCATCAATTTTCAGGAAAATTTATGCACGCAACTACCATGCTTCACAAATCTTATTTTCTGTCAAAGGTTATACACTATACAGAAATTAATTTCTTCTGTCCTTAAAACTGCATAAAATTTTTCATTAAACTGTCTAAAATATTTACATTCATCGAACTGTAATGTGTCAAAAGTAATAATAATTAGATTAATTATAATCTCAGTATGCTTAAATGTATTATTTATTTGTGAGAAAAATTTATGTTAAAGAAGATTTGTATTTTATCGATCAGAAAAATTTATATGAAAAAGATTTGTATTTTATCCTTCAGAAAAATTTATGTCAAAAAGGATTATATTTAACTAGTCTTAAATAACGTAGGACTACTTTTCTTTGTTACAGGATCTCCAATCAGAGATCGAAACGCATCGAGACGTTTATGCGTCCCTGAATGGTACAGGCCGAAAGCTGTTAAGCTCTTTAGCCAGTCAGGATGACGCTGTTATGCTACAACGACGACTGGACGAGATGAACCAGAGATGGCATCACTTGAAAGCGAAGAGTATGGCGATAAGGTAAGCACCATTTTTCTTACGAATGAGAACCTGAAATTTGTTCCATTGTATTCCGAAAACTACGTATGAAGTCATCTTTTATGAGAAAAAAATTTCCCTTTACAAGGAAAATTCTAAGATGAAGTAGCATTGTAATTATACACCTCGAATTGGCACATAAATTGTTGAGGTAGCATTTGAATCGCATATTGTAAAGTAGCATTTAAATTACATACTTTGAAATGCATTACAAATACCTTGATGTAGCACATAAACGATATGCATTGAAGTAGCTTTTGAATTACATGCCCTCAAGTAACATATAAATTCTAAACCTTAAGGTGTCATATAAATTATATACCTTGAAGTAGCATATAAACTTCGTACCTTGAAGTAGCGCTTGAATTACGTACCCCGAAATAATATTTGAACTACATACTTTGAAGACACACGTGTGGCAAATTTATTATACCAACTTCATTATCACATGAAGCAATGAAGTTCTGAACTACAGTATAATCTTAAGCAGTATTTAACCAAACTATGGCAGAAGTTGTCTTAAATTCTCAGAATCAAATTAGGTCAAAGGCACAGAATAAGTTCAGGAAACAAATGAAACAATTATACTACTTTTGACAAACCTTAGCTATAATAAAACTTCACCAATTTTGTCAAACGTAACTCGATTAAGGTTCCACAAACTTCATCTTTGGTCAAACTTTATCAAATATGGTGAAGCTTCAAACTTTTATAAACGTGGCCAAATTTTTAAAAGCATCTACCTTGATGAAACTTCGTACCTAATGGAGGATCATCATTCCCAGAAGCTTAAAAAAATGACAGGTGTTGATATATTTATGGTCTCAAAAATTTCTGACCCATCCAGACCCGGCGTCATCAGGTTCTCGTCTCCGCGCTTTTCTTTCCGTTTTCCTTCGGCGCTTCTCTTCTTTGCTCCTCGGGTTTCTTTTTTGAAAACCCAATTAGCGATCGCGGTGAGAACGACGACAGGTGGAACGGCGAAGTTTTTCAGCTCCTGTAAGCGGTAACAGGTGCGCCAGTGTCGAGGCAGACATTTCATTTTGCGTGCACGCTGGCGAAAAGTGGTTGCCGAGAATTCGGAAGAATGAATTACGCGAGATAAGTTGAAACGGTGGGGCAGGAGAATGGAGGATGAAAACGGGATAAAAATTGGAAACGACGGGATTTCGGCGAAATATAATCTTGGAGGAACGAGGAAAAAATGAGGGAACCCGCGTTAAAAGAGAAAAGAACAGAGATCGGGACGAGGTGTGTAGCTGGCTAGGAAATAAAGTGTGGAGATAAAAAGAAAGGGTGGAATCTGACGTTGGAAACGGTAGGAGGGGAAAGATGAAATGTGGATGGGAAGAAAACAGAAGGAAAAAGCCACGAACGACTTTGATTTTGAAATATTACCGGGATTTACCGATCGCCTGCAGCTATGGAGATTTCTCTATTGTATCGGGTTCGTTGAACTGTATTTTTGTTGTTTCATTTTAATATTTTACACCTTTTTCATCAGCCGATGCTTTTTTAATTCTTTGTGCTCGGATAGGGTTATTTAATATGTCGCTGGCAGAAATTGGATTTATTATAGCAACAGATTTTTAGGTCTCTTATTTCATTGTGGCACTTTAGCTACGTATTTTGAATCTATTGTTAAAAATTTTTTTTTATTCTATTATTATTAAATTTTCTTTTTATACAAAATTTTTGTTGTACGTTTTCACAGCTAGTTTTGTAAATTTTAAAACGTATTAATTGTGTTAGTAAATATTTATTAGAAGATTAGTAATTAAATGATATTAAATTGTAATTAATATCTGTTGGGGTAGTTAAATAGTTGCATGGACATAAATAGTGTATTCCAAAGATTATTACTGAAATAATATTTGACTATTTGGAAATGCTCATATTTGATTATTGTATTTAACTTCTTTATAAACTATTATTTGAATAATATATTATTTGACTATTTCAATATTTCAGATAAAAAAAAAATTGTGCATCCATTTATTTAAACGCGAAAATGATTTTTTTAATCATAATATTTCTTCAATTATTTCCGAAATAATAATTTTCAATTTTATATCCGAACAAATTATTTTCGTATAAAAATTTCTATTAAACGAAAATTTTTTCGTACAGAAAATTTAACGTTCATACAAAAATTGGTTCAACAAAAATTTTAATTTTCTATTTTTAATGCAAAGTTCGTTGCTGCTTTCCTTCAACGAAGAAACCCTTTTAGTGTAAAAGGAATAAACGCAGCGTTGATGGTTTTCACCTATTTCACCGTCGTTGCACTCAGAGAATTTTGTCACGAAACTTTTGAATGCGTTTCTGTTATCAAAAAAACTGCGAATCGAAAAGTAGATTCCAAAAGCGTATTTCTCGTTAGGGCGAAAACGATTTACCAAAAGTAGCGAAACCCAGTAATTTTTTCTTCCTCATACAGCCACAATTTCCCACGTAGAAAAGAATGCAAGCCGCGTTTTATTTTCCGGTTTTTTTGTGCCCCGTAGCTGTTTTATTGGACGCCCGAATTTCCGAAAACTTGATTTCAAATTCTATCCCACGCGTTCGGATCGATTTATTAAGCCGTAGCATATTTGAAAAATGCATTAAACCGGCGTCAAGTGGAATGGCGCTACGGTGGACGGTCGATTTACGAAAATCAAGGGGCAAAAAAATGAGAAAAAGTGGCGGCGTGTTACAACGACTTTTTAACGCGGATGGAATTCTAAATGAAACTCGTCAACGCATTTTATGCTACCTGTGTAAAACACCGAGTTAAAATGATTAAAAACAGCGTGCAAACAAAACGTTGACATCGATGAAGTTTTTGTGTTCTTCTATTTTTAATTCTTGTTCTGACTAATGCCGTTACGAATTTTGCTCTTTGATAATTCAATCAAAATTTTTCAGTCGAGAAATTTCTGTCAAACATTTTTGTCGAATATCTTTCAATACCATCGATATATCAGAATTCAATACCGAAAAGAATTTTTTCAAATTTGTCAACAGGAAAATATAAATGAAAATTAATTGGTGGTCTGAAAGTGAAATGGAGAAATGAAAATGAATGAACGATTGAATAAATATCGAGATAAAATTATGATACAAACATGATTACTGTTGCTGTTTAACAGGGGTGGTTTTTTGCTAACTTAATAAATCGACGCTGATCAAATTAAATTGTATTATCCGATAAAGTTTACATGCAACATACCATTCTTCTAAAAATTTGATATAAAAAAAGAATTGTAGGTAAACTGGTTTGAAATACAAGAACAGTGGTTTCTCCTTAAAATGAACGTAAAGGAAAATAGTTTACTTAAGAAAGTATTTAAAAGTCTTTGGAAAATTTGTGGAACAAAATGGAGGATTATTCTATGTGCAACATTGGTGGAACAATGGCTTTTGACGCGCGAACAATTCCAAAGATTTGCAAGGTGGGTGGAGGGTCAAGGGGTGTGCACACGCAGTAGGTTAACTATGAAGCCGGAAATTCTCAACGTGCCATTCTCCTTTGATAACATAGCAGTTATGTGTCGTGGTAATACCCTTCCTAAGCAGAAATTGTCGCCACGAAAGAGCGCCACAAAATCTGTAAGTGTATCACGGTGGTTTAGCGATCTTCCCGTAGACATCTTGCGATCAATCCACGTGGGATTCCCCCATGAAACTTTCACTAACGAACCGAAGGGTTGCTTTGATATTGGTGCATCGAGAATCTTGCCTTGCGTAGCCTGGATTCGGTGGTTGAACCCTTAACGAATATAGTAATCTCAGAATTTGATTTATTTATATATTTTAATTCATACATAAATCGTAATTAATAGAATGTTTGATATTTTGGTTATTTAAATTTATTTTTTGGTCTTTAATTATATGAGGATTATGTTTTGTTTTAATTGAGAGAGTAGTAAAATAACATCAATTAATATTCACGGTGTTGTTTCGTTTATATTGATTTAGCATTCAGTTGCATATTAATTTTGATATTAATCAGTTGAATTCTATTGAATTTATAATTCTTTCGTCTGGTTAAGTAAAACTAGTAATTATAAATACACGTTTTTTTTATATTTTGATTACGTCACTATTATTTTACTACTCATTTAATTGTTCATCGATACATTTATTTTTATTATTTATTTATATGTATCTTTGATATACATAATTAAATACGGAGTGAATTTTTATTATGAGAACGTCGTTTTGTATGAAAATAAGATGAATTAGTATATAGTAAAATATCTAATGAAATATCTAGTAAAATATCTAATGAAATATCTAGTAAAATATCTAGTAAAATTTCTAGTAAAATTTCTAGTAAAATATCTAGTAAAATATCTAGTAAAATACCTAATAAAATACCTAATAAAATACTTGATAAAACATCTAGTAAAATATCTAATAAAATACCTAGTAAAATACCCAATAAAATACCTAGTAAAATCCCTAGTAAAATGCCTAATAAAATACCTAGTAAAATACCCAATAAAATACCTAGTAAAATCCCTAGTAAAATACCTAATAAAATACCTAGTAAAATACCCAATAAAATCCCTAGTAAAATGCTTAATAAAATACCTAGTAAAATACCCAATAAAATCCCTAGTAAAATCCCTAGTAAACTACCTACTAAAATATCTAGTAAAATATTTGGTAAAATACCTAGTAAAATATTTAATCAAATATTTAATGAAACGTCCAGTAAAATAGAATTTATTTATTTCCCAATATTCAGTATAATTTTTGTACAAGAGATATCAAAGTGATTAATGTTTTTCTAAATGAGTCGACATATTTCTGTTGCTATAGAATTAAAACCTATAAAAACAGAGGTTCTTCCATTTCTTTGTGTGCTACTCGTTTTTCACTTCCCATTTCCAGAAAAAGGGGACGTTCGTTAGTTTGTGAAATTCGCCGGTGAAAAATTACCGCGTTGTTCTTTTTTCCGGCGTTCAACGTTGAAGAACTCCATTCATCTT